AGATTGAGGAGCGTTCAGGCGCTGAGTGAGCGCGCTAATTACCGACAGCCTCAGTTGAGAGCACGGGCGCGGATTTATGACAACGTCAACATCAACAACGCTCCGCTGGCCACTCAGCCGCCGGTTCGAACTCCCGTACAAATGGGTGTGGTCTGCCTGGTTGGTTCTGTTTGAGTGCACAGCGAGCTTGAGCGCAAAGCTCCAGACAACGGAGCGTAGGGAATTGGCCTTTGTTAAATGTGTGGAATAGCACGGCTAACTCGAGACCCCATCCTGCTCACTCACGGCTACTGGACACAGCTGCCAAAAGCAGACCTCAGATTCAACTAATTCGAACTAATTATGGGCTCTTGTTGTTTTAACAAACGACAGCATACCAAAGAGAGAAAAAACACAACCGAAAAGAAAAAGAAATGTTTGATGTGTACGCATGAGCACACACGCTCACAGACACACACACACACACACATTTATACATTGACTGAATGCTTGGTAGTTTTATGTTTTAATTGTGGCTTACGTTTGATTTGGCCAAAGGGCACACAACGGCCATGACAGGCATAAAAACAAAGGCAAACATGCTGGTATATGCCACACATAATTACACAGACACGCACACAGACACAGTCGACTTTTATTTACAAGTGGGTGCTGGCAAATCCAAAATCATTTGTTATTTGCACATTTGCCCAGAGTAGAGAAAAACTTTTGCCGGACTTGCACTTAAATCGCTTTTGATGAGGGTCACATCAAATGCTCCCGCCAGACCGTTTCAGGCGCACTGAACGTTAGGCCCCAAGCGGGGGTGTGGCCCACATACGCACACACACTCAGAACACACACACACACACGTACATATATAGACATATACAGGCATTGCGGCATTCATAGAGATGCATATATATCGGGACTTGACCAAAAGAAATGAGCCAATTAGTCGACTCTGCTGCAGTTGCATTCTTGATGTTGCTGCTACTTAGTGTTGCTGCTGGTGTTGCAATTGCTGCTGCTGTAGCTGCTGCTGCATGTGGCACTTGTGTCAATGCCATTTTCGTACTCGCACTTGGCAGGCTGGCAGCCCAAACGTGACAACGTCAACACTTTTGCATTCGCATAATAATCATATTGCGAATATAATGGCGTGAAACAGCAACAACAGCAACAACAACAACAACAGTAACACCAACACTCACCAACAACAGCAGCAGCAGCAGCAGCAGCAGCAACAGTAAAAAATTCGTGACAGTTGACAGTCGCAGCTGAAGCTGAAGCAGCGCTCAGACGCTCAGCGATGTCAGCGCCAATGCGCCACAGCAACAACATTCTTGTTACTATACCCAGGAAAGTATGTATGGTATGGTAAGGTATATCAAAATGGGGTGTGGCATAAGCTAGTTTAAGGCGTAAGCATGAAATCGACAGCAAAGTCGAAAAGAATTTAAT